ATATTATAGTTAATACTACTCCCGAATTCAACTCTGACTTTCTGGTTTAAAATCAAGCTATTATAAAGGAGGTACTTCCCTTAGTTATAAGTATATAAAAAGGAGAACCTTAGTATAAAGTTATTATCTATAGTCTACCTATTCGTGAGTTTGATATACCCGAAGAAATAGACTTAGTCCTAGAAGAAATCAAGACCTTTAATAAGGAACTAGAGCCTATTAGCTAGCCCTATTAGGCTACTTCTAAGGAGAAAAGAGACTCAGGCCTCCAGCGAGCCGGTTTAGTAGTAGTGGCATTCCCTACCGAGATTCAAGCTAATAGAGCTATTAAAAATAGACTTCTTATAGCCGGGATCTCTACTAAAGTAGTAAAATACCATACTATTTCTAGTACTATATAGTATACTAGGTGTATAGGGTACGGGCACTTAGATTCTATTTGCAAAAAGGAACCTAAGTACTTACTATATAGTAAGGGTTATGTAACTGAGAACCATTTTTGCTCTATCTATAAGAAGAAGAGTAAAAAATGCTCCCACGTAACTACTAAATGCTCTAATTACTTAAGCACTACTTACTCAGCTAGTTCTAAGCTATGTGAGGTTTACTTAGTAATTAAAAAAGCTACTACTACTATAATTCCTACTATTACTATTAATGAGTAGCTATATCAAAGTACTATAAGTTAATGTGAATCGCAATAGCTCTACTACTAAAAACGTCTTGCAAATAGCTATAGAACTGGATATTAAAGTCCTAGTAATCCAGGAGCCTTAGGTAATAGCAGGGAATAATAATTGGGAATATTATTCTATTATATACTCTAGCTATTTCCAAATACTCCCGAATTACGGTACCCTGAGGCCTAGAACCCTATTTTATATAGCTCGCGAACTGCAAGCTAGTCTAGCCTCAAACTCACTAAGTAATCCTGATTACTTAATTATAGACTTAAGTCTAGGTATACTAAAAATGCAGCTAATTAATTTCTATAATGCAATTCATCCAGAAGACCCTAATAGTATATTAACTATATTAAGAGAGAACATCTTACCTACTACTCTTTATAATAGCTCTCTATTACTAGGTAATTTTAATATATATTATTCTTGGTAGGATTCCCTTAAACCTCAAAGCAGTTATGTAATTCATTTAATTAGCTATATAGAGAACCATTCTCTAAGGCTATTAAATAAACCAGGGGAAGATACCTTCTATAGACCTAATATGTCTATTTCTTCCGTATTAGACTTAAGTTTTACTACTAGTGAAATAGTAACTAAGATTAAAGACTAGCAAGTACTACTAGACTTAGGTTCCGATTACTTCGGGGTTCTATTTACTATTAGTAAGTCGACTTATAGCTCTAGTTCTAATCCAGTTAGATTTAATACTAAGAAAGCAGACTGGGCTAAATTTACAAGCTACCTTATTAATAGCCTTGAGAATATACTCTTTTCACTTACTAGTATACCTGGAAACTATAAACTAGACCTATTAGTAGAAGACTTTACTAATAGAATAGTAGAAGCAGCTAGTAATAGTATTCCAAAATCTACTACTAGTCCGTATTCTAAATCCTGGTGAAATAAGGACTTAAAGACCTTATATAAATCAATGCTATACTATAGCCATAAGTCTAAAGCTTTAGGGTATACTCTCTATAAATAAGAACTCCAAAATGCAAAAAACACCTATTTTAATACTATTAAGAGTACTAAGCTAGCGCACTGGAATAAGTTCTTAGAGAATAAAGACCCCCAGTCGATTTTTAAAGCTATGAAATATACTAAAGATACTATATATTAACCTATTCCTAGTATCTTAGATAATAGTTCAAATGAGCTAAAATCGACTTTCCAAGAGAAGTGTAATATCTTTAGAACTGGGCTTTTCCTACTACCCCCTATTACTAAGCCTACTAGTTTAATAAACTATAGGTCTAGCTCAAAGTGGGACTGGCCTATTTTGTCTAAAATAGAGCTAGAATAAGCCTGTACTTCTAAGGTAAAGGGGAAAACCCCTGGACCAGACTTAGTTACTTAAGAGATTATAGTTCATGCTTATAGAGCTTCTTTAGATATCTTTTATAGGCTATACTCCTTATTTATTAATAAGGGATACTACCCTAAAGTCTGGAAATAAGCTACTGGCTTTATTCTAAAGAAATCAGGGAAACTAAACTATTCCCTATCTAAAATATATTAAGTTATTTCCCTACTTAATTACTTAGGGAAGGTTTCTGAGAGAATACTAGCTAGGCGACTTAGCTATTTAGCCGAGACTAGTAACCTACTATATTACTCCCAAATGGGAGGTAGGCTCTATAAGTCAGCTATTAATACTGCTTTACTATTATAAAATGAAGTAGAATTAAATAAGTCCTATAAGCTGAAAACTAGTACTTTCTTCCTAGATATTAAAGGCGCCTTCGATTACGTATTCAAGAATAGGCTATTATAGATTATGATTAGTTTATTACTACCTACTAGCCTTATTCTATGGGTATTATTATTCCTAGATAACCGAGTATTATGACTAGCTTTTAATAATAGTATTAAAGTATTTAGGTCTATACTTACTAGTATTCTATAAGGTAGCCCTATATTTCCTATACTATTCCTTATCTATATCCGAGACTTATTTAAGTTAGTAAATATTAAATTCAGATCCTATTTAGATAATATATCCCTTACTACTACTTCTAAAAGTCTAAAGAAAAACATTAAGACTCTAGAAAGAGAAGTAAAGAATATAGTTAATTTAGGGAAAAAGAATACTATTAGCTTTAATATAGATAAAACAGAGCTTATTTATTTTAATAATTCCAAAAATAAGCCTAGTCTAAAACTACCTAATAGGGAACTAGTTTCCCCTAGTAAAGTAGTCAAATGGCTAGGGATCTATTTCGATGAAAATCTCAGATTTAAGGAATATATAGCCTATAGGGCTTCCAAAGCAAAACAAGCCTTTTATAGGATATAGAGACTTACGAATATATTACGTGGCTTATCCCCTTTTATAATTAGATAGCTATATTTAGCCTGTATTACTAGTATAATAGACTATGGTTCTATACTATAGTAGAAGACTAAAAGCAAAGCTCAAATTCGGCCTTTATAGGCAATTCAAAACCTAGCTTTAAGGAAAACCCTAGGAGTATTCAAAACTGCTCCTATTATTCCTATAGAGGTCGAATTAGCTTTAGTTCCACCTATTATAAGGCTAAACCATAGTCAATATTAATATGCCTTCCGTATCCTTAAACTAAGTCTAAAACACCCTATTAGACTAGAGTTCGAGAAGTTCTTCCAAAGATCCCGTAATTTAGAACTAGTAGAATCTGATATAGACTCTATTTATAGTCTAAATACCGATCTAAAGCGAAATCGCATAGCCAAAAAGTCTCAAGTAGAAACTATAGTAGACTCTATTAGTAATCTAATAGACCCTAAAGACCTAGAGACTATAAGACACTTTTATTTTGCTCCTTGGGACAGAGAAGTGCCTTATAAAATCACTATATTAAAAGAGCCAAAGAAAGAGACTACTATATTACATAACTTCTATCTAAAGACTTTATATAATAATAGCTCCATACTATCTATATATATAGATGGATCTCAAACTGAAAAAGGACTTGGAGTAGGCCTAGGGCTCGTAGTTTATAGTCACGAAACTCCTTATATTCCGGTCATAGCTAAATATAGAGAAAGCCAGAATATAGGAGCTAGTACTATAGTCTATAATAGAGAACTAGAAGGCGTTACTAGGGCTATTAAGTATGCTAGCAGTAAAGCAAAGAGAGGAGAGCTTTTTAATATCTTTATAGATAACTAAGCTGGTTTACTAAGATTAAAAACTCCTTCTAATAAGCCAGGACAAAGTCAATAGATTAGAGCTATACTAGCTACTAAGGCCCTTAAAGCTAAAGGAGCTAATATAGAACTAATCTGGGTTCCAGGGCATACAGATATAATAGAGAACGAAGAAGCAGACGAACTAGCTAAGCTAGGCACTACTTCTCCTATATTAGAACCTGAATTAGTAAAAACCTCCTTTGCTTTCCTAGGGATTAAAATTAATAAAGTTAAGAAACTAGAGTATAGACTACTTTTAGAATCTTATACTAAACCAAAAACCTAGCTAGAAATATATAGTAATATATATTCGTAGAAAGTATCCAGAAAGATAAACCTACCTTCTGAAATATTTAGGCCCCTAGCTAGTGCCTTCTTCTAGCTAAAGCTAGGCCACGGATATTTAAAGTCCTATTTATATAGGCTAAATATAATATCTAATAATAAATGCAAATGCGAAAAGACTAAGAATATAAAGCATCTCTTTTTATACTATATACTATATAGGGAGAAATGACTCAGACTATTTAGTCTATTTAAAGGGAGCTTAGAAGCTAGTACTTTTAACCTACGACTACTATTATACACGGAAATTAGGATATTAAATATACTAGTATTCTTAAAAGAAACTAGTATATATACAAGAAAATGGCATATTGAGCGAAGCGTGGAAGTGGAAGAAGTAGAAGAAGTGGAAGAAGTGGAAGAAGTGGAAGAAGTAGAAATAAGGGAGGAAATTGGGGAGGAAATAGGGGAGGAAATAGGAGAAGGGGAATAGGGAAAAAGGGAAAAGGGAAATAGGGAGTAGGGGAGGAATTGCGATTTATATTCATTTTTTCTTTATTTCCTTAAGTTTTTATTTTAGGGGTATGTCCCCAACTATTTACTACCTATATTGGAATTTGGGCCTGCATATAAGCTACTGAGACTCATGCTAGCTTAGCTAGCCGTACTATATAGTTCTAAACTAATAAAGCATATTAAAAGGAAAAAAAGGAAAAAAAAAAAACTCTTAATAGTATTAAAATAGGTGTTTTTTGCATTTTGGAGTTCTTGTTTATAGAGAGTATATCCTGAAGCTTTAGACTTATAGCTATAGTATAGTATTAATTTACGTAAGGTCTTTAAGTCCTCATTTTACTAGGGTTTAGAATACGGACTAGTAGTAGATTTTGGAATACTATTACTAGCTACTTCTACTATTCTATTAGTAAAGTCTTCTGCTAATAGGTCTAGTTTATAGTTTCCAGGTATACTAGTAAATGGAAAGGGCATATTCTTAAGGCTATTAATAAGGTAGCTTGTAAATTTAGCCCAGTCCGCTTTCTTAGTATTAAATCTGACTGGATTAGAACTAGAGCTATAAGTCGACTTACTAATAGTAAATAGTACCCCAAAGTAATTAGAACCTAAGTCTGGTAGCACTTGCCAGTCTTTAATCTTAGTTATTATTCCACTAGTAGCAAAACTTAAGTCTAATATAGAAGGAGTGGATATATTAGGCCTATAGAAGGTACCTTTCCCTGGTTTATTTAATAGTCTTAGAGAATGGTTCTCTATATAGCTAATTAAATAAACTATATAACTGCTTTGAGGTTTGAGGAAATCCTACTAAGGATAATATATATTAAAATCACCTAGTAATAGAGAGCTATTATAGAGAGTAGTAGGTAAAATACTCTCTCTTAATATAGTTAATATATTATTAGGGTCTTCTGGGTAAATTATATTATAGAAATTAATTAGCTGCATTTTTAGTATACCTAGACTTAAGTCTATAATTAAGTAATTAGGATTACTTAGTAAGTTTGAGGCTAGACTAGCTTATAGTTCGCAAGCTATATAAAATAGGGTTCTAGGCCTTAGGGTACCGTAATTCGGGAGTATTTGGAAATAGCTAGAGTATATAATAGAATAATATTTCCGATTATTACTATTCCTTGCTATTACCTATAGTTCCTGGATTACTAGGACTTTAATATCCAGTTCTATAGCTATTTGCAAGACGTTTTTAGTAGTAGAGCTATTACGATTTATATTAACTTATAGTACTTTAATATAGCTACTCATTAATAGTAATAGTAGGAATTATAGTAGTAGTAGCTTTTTTAATTACTAAGTAAACCTTATATAGCTTAGAACTAGCTAAGTAAGTAGTACTTAAGTAATTAGAGTATTTAGTAGTTATATAGGGGCATTTTTTGCCCTTCTTCTTATAGATAGAGCAAAAATGGTTCTCAGTTACGTAACCCTTACTATATAGTAAGTACTTAGGTTCCTTTTTGCAAATAGAATCTAAGTACCTGTATCCTGTATACCTAGTATACTATATAGTACTAGAAATAGTATGGTATTTTACTACTTTAGCAGAGATCCCGGCTATAAGAAGTCTATTTTTAATAGCTCTATTAGCTTGAATCTCGGTAGGGAATACTACTACTACTAAACCGGCTTACTAGAGGCCTGAGTCTCTTTTCTCCTTAGAAGTAGCCCAATAGGGCTGGCTAATAGGCTCTAGTCCCTTATTAAAGGTCTTGATTTCTTCTAGGACTAAGTCCATTCCTTCGGGTATATCAAACTTATAAATAGGTAGACCATAGATAATAACTTTATACCAAGGTTCTCCTTTTTATATACTTGTAACTAAGGGAAGTACTCCCTTTATAATAGCTTGATTTTAAACCAGAAAGTCAGAGTTGAATTCGGGAATAGTATTAACTATAATATTATTCTTCGAGAAAAGAGAGACTATAGAGATTACTAGTCCCTTAATTCCCTTAAAACGGAAAGTAGTATTAAGCAAATTACGAGTAGAAATAGCAGAGAACAAGCTAGCCTGCTCCATATAAGCTAGTAGGAAGGTGCTTTTCCTAGAGAGGGCTGTGTTTTTAGCATTACATATGCTATATAGACTAGTATTACGAGTACTAGTATTAGTACCACGAGTACTACCGCTACTAGTAAGTATACTAGGGCCTTTTCCTCCCTGATTTTTGGACTTAGTATATAATACTATAGTCCAGTCCTTTTCCGAGTGAGATTGTGGTTCTTGAGTAGCGATTTTAGCCCAAGTAGGCTTTTCGGGGGTAGTTTTAGCTTAAGTAGCTAGTTTGGCTTAAGTTCTTAACTGAATTTCGATCCGTTTAGTAACATTTTCGAGGTTCGCTACCTGGGAGGCTAGTAAAGTACTAGTATAGCGGATATAGCCGAATTCAGTATATTCTCTAAAGATTTCTACTAAATCTAGTAGTCGAGATTACTGGTCATGTAATGGAGTAATAGTAATAGCTTTGACTATTAAGTCCCGGGCTTAATGAATTAGTAATTTAGCTTTATTCGAAGCTTGATTCTAATATTAGTAGTGGTTTCCGTAATTTTGGTATTCCTTATTAATATCTCTATTAATATTACTCAAGCTAGGGCCACGCTTTAGCCCGTTCTGGAGGCGGCTTAGTCGAGCCGTACTAGCTGAATTAGGCTGAGGAAAAGGGGCTGCGAGTTCGTCTAAAGAGGTGGGATTTATAGCTAAATCGAATGCGAATTGAGCTCCCTGGCTGAACCGAGCTAGTGGGGAGCTAGTGGGTAGGTCTAGCTATTCGCTAGGGCCCTCTAGAAGCTCTCCGAGCTCTTGAAAGTCGATGGGAGGGGGGCTAGAGCCCGGGGGGTCAGGGGGGGCCATTTAGCCTGTTCTAGCTCTACTTATAGTAGGTTCTAGAGCCTGGGGCCAAAGGGCTGAGGTATATTGAGTGAGTTCTGAAGGTGGGTGAAGTGTGGGTATGAAAGTAAGGGGGGTAAAAAAACCGGAGAATAATATATTGAGCTAATAGTATTTTTATTCCCTAGATTAACTATATTCTTTACTTCCCGCTCTAAAGTCTTAATATTCTTTTTAAGGCTATTAGAAGTAGTAGTAAGGGTTATATTATCTAAATAGGACTTAAAACTAACGTTTATTAATTTAAATAGATCTTAGATATAGATTAGGAATAGTATAGGTAATATAGGACTTCCTTATAGAATGCTAGTAAGTATAGACTTAAATACTTCTATACTATTATTAAAAGCTAGTCTTAATACTCGGTTATCTAGGAACGACGATACCTAGAGAATAAGGCTAGTAGGTAGTAATAAACTAATTATGATCTGTAATAGCCTATTCTTGGACACGTAATTGAAGGCACCTTTGATATCTAGGAAGAGAGTAGTAGTTTTTAGCTTATAGGACTTATTAGTCTCTACTTTATTCTATAGTAATAAAGTAGTATTAATAGCTGACTTATATAGCCTACCTCCTATTTGGGAAGGGTATAATAGGTTACTAGTCTCGGCTAAATAACTAAGTCTCTTAGCTAATATTCTCTCAGAAACCTTTCCTAAGTAATTAAGTAAGGAAATAACTCGATATGCTTTAGATAGGAAATAGTTTGGTTTTCCTGATTTCTTTAGAATAAAGCTAGTAGCTTGTTTCCAGATTTTAGGATAGTACCTCTTATTAATAAATAAAGAATATAGCCTATAAAAAATGTCTGGAGCAGCTCTATAAGCGTGGACTATAATCTCTTAAGTAACTAAGTCTGGTCCTGGGGTTTTCCCCTTTATCTTAGAGGTATATACTTATTCTAGCTCTATTCTGGATAAAATAGGCTAATAGGCTTAGTATTAGGGGATAGTGGGAAAAGCTTAGCTCTAAAGATATTATACTTCTCTTGGAAAATCGACTTTGAATTATTATTACTACTATTACTACTATTTCCACTATTACTACTTAAGATACTAGGGATCGGTTCGTATAAGGTATCTTTAGTATATTTTATAGCTTTAAAAATCGACTGGGAGTCTTTATTCTCTAAGAACTTATTCTAATGCACTAGCTTAGCGCCTTTAATAGTAATAAAGTAGGTATTCTTTGTATTTTGGAATTCTTGTTTATAGAGAGTATACCCTAAGGCTTTAGACTTATGGCTATAGTATAGTATTAATTTACGTAAAGTCTTTAAGTCCTTATTTCACTAGGGTTTAGAATATGAACTAATAGTAGATTTTGGAATACTATTACTAGCCGCATTTACTATTCTATTAGTAAAGTCTTTAGCTAATAGGTCTAGTTTATGATTTCCAGGTATACTAGTAAGTGGAAAGGGTATATTATTAAGGCTACTAATAAGGTAGCTTGTAAATTTAGCCTAGTCCGCTTTTCTAGTATTAAATCTGACTGGATTAGAACTAGAGCTATAAGTTGACTTACTAATAGTAAATAGTACCCCAAAGTAATTAGAACCTAAGTCTGGTAGTACTTGCTAGTCTTTGATTTTAGTTACTATTTCACTAGTAGTAAAACTTAAGTCTAATATAGAAGAAGTGGACATATTAGATCTATAGAAGGTACCTTCCCCTGGTTTATTTAATAGCCTTAGAGAATGGCTCTCTATATAGTTAATTAAATGGATTATATAACTGTTTTAAGGCCTTAGGGGATCCTACTAAGGATAATGTATATTAAAATCGCCTAGTAATAAAGAGCTATTAAAGAGAGTAGTAGGTAAAATATTCTCTCTTAATATAGTTAATATACTATTAGGGTCTTCTGGGTGAATTGTATTATAGAAATTAATTAGCTGTATTTTTAGTATACCTAGACTTAAGTCTATAATTAGGTAATCTGGATTACTTAGTGAGTTTTGAGCTAGGCTAGCCTGTAATTCACGGGCTATGTAAATTAAGGTTCTAGGTCTTAAGATACCGTAATTCGGGAGTATTTAATAATAGCTCGAGTATATAATAGAATAATATTTCTGATTATTACTATCTCTTACTATTATCTATAGTTCCTGGATTACTAGGACTTTAATATCTAATTCTATAGCTATTTACAAGACGTTTTTAGTAGTAGTTTTATTATAATTCATATTAAATTATAGTATTTTTATGTAGTTACTTATTAATAGTAATAGTAGGAATTAAAGTAGTGGCTTGCTTTATAGCTAAGTAAACTTTATATAGTTTAGAACTAGCTAAATGTATAGTACTTAAGTAATTGGAGTATTTGGTAATTATATAGGGGTATTTTTTACCCTTCTTTTTATAAATAAAGTAAAAATAGTTCTTAGTTATATGACTTTCCCTATATAGTAAATATATAGGTTCTCTTTTGCAAATAGAATCTAAGTGCCCGTACCCTGTATACCTAGGGCACTATATAGTACTAGAGATAGTATAATATTTTACTATCTTAGTAGAGATTCCGGCTATAAGAAGTCTATTTTTAATAGCTCTATTAGCTTGGATCTCGGTAGGGAATGCTACTATTACTAAACCGGCTCGCTAAAGGCCTGAGTCTCTCTTTTCCTTAGAAGTGGCCTAATAAGGCTGGCCAATAGGCTCTAGTTCTTTATTAAAGGTCTTGATTTCTTCTAGGACTAAGTCCATTCCTTCGGGTATATCGAACTCACGAATAGGTATACCATAGATAATAACTTTATACCATGGTTCCCCTTTTTATATACTTTTAACTAAGGGAAGTATTTTTTTTATAATCTTAATATTTGAAACCAGAAAATTAGAGTTAAACTCCGGGGTAGTATTTACTATAATATTACCCCTTGAGAAAAGAGAGACTATAGAGATTACTAGTTCCTTGATTTCCTTAGAGCGGAAAGTAGTATTAAGCGAATTGCGAGTAGAAATAGCTGAAAAGGAAGTAGCCTGCTTTATATGAGCTAGTAGGAAGGTGTATTTCCTAGAGAGGGCTGTGTTTTTAGCATTACGTATGCTATATAGACTAGTATTACGAGTACTAGTATTAGTATCACGAGTACTACCGCTACTAGTAAGTATACTAGTACTATTCCCTCCCTGATTTTTGGACTTAGTATATAATACTAAAGTCTAGTCCAATACTGAGTTTGTAGGTTCTTGACTAGCTATACTAGCCCAAGTAGGCTTAGCTTGTATAGCTTGTATAGGCTTTGTAGGGGCAGTTTTTGCTTGTATTCTTGCTTGAATTTCGATCCGTTTAGTGGCATTTTCGAGGTTCGCTACTTGAGAGGCTAGTAAAGTACTAGTATGGCGGATATGGCCGAATTTAGTATATTCCCTGAAGATTTCTACTAGATCTAGTAGTCGAGATTATTAATTATAGGAAGTAGTAATACTAATAGCCTTGACTATTAGTTCCCGGGCTTGGCGAATCAGTAATTTAGCTTCGTTCGAAGCTTGGTTCTAATATTAGTAGTAGTTTCCGTGGTTTTGGTATTCCTTATTAATATCGCTATTAATATTGCTCGAGCTAGGGCCATGCTTTAGCCCGTTTAGTATATGGCTCTGTCGATTCGCACTAGCCTGATTAAGCTAAGAAAAAGGGGCTGCGAGTTCGTCTGAGGATATGGGGTTCGTAGTTAAATCGAAGGCGAACTGGGAACCTGGGGGGAATCGAGGTAATGGGGGGCTAGTAGGTAGCTCTAGCTCCGAGCTAGGGCTCTCAGGGAGCTCTCCGAGGTCCTGGGGGTCAATATTAGGGGGGCTGGAGCCCGGGGGGTCAGGGGGGGCCATTTAGCCGGCTCTAGTTCTACTTATAGTAGGTTCTAGAGCCTGGGGCTAAAGGGAGTAAGTGTATGGAGTGAGTTCTATAGGTAGGTAAAGTGTGTAACTGAAAGTAAGGGGGGTAAAAAACCGGGAAAAAAAAGTTATATATTATATTTCTTTAGATATATATATTTATATTCTTTTTTATAATAAAAGCCTAACTTTACCTAGATATATTTTATCTTTTATAATTATTTCTAATTTATAATTATATTACCTTAAATATATCTAATTATTATATTTATTTTCCCTATTATATATATTACTATTTTAGCTTTATTTTCTTATTAGGAAGAAGAAAAAAAACTTAAATATATATAATACTTTTATATAATTCAAATCTGTTCTAATTTATTCTTTATTTTAGAATATACTTAAAAGAAATTCTTATAATCTCGAGAATCTTTAACTTTATAACTTATAACTATTATATTAATAATATCTTTATAACTTATTAAGAATAATAAAATAGTTAAAGAATAAGTTCCTTAAGTTAGTAAAGTATAATAGCTAGTTCTTATAAGCTATAGTATTATTAAAAGCCTATAGATTAATAGTATTAAAATTTAGAGTATTAAAGAAGCTTAGGTAATTATAAAAGGCCTACTAATACTAGAAAAAATAACTATAATTACTAAATTTAATATAAATATCCTAGATAAGCTAAGCGGTATATATAATAAGCTTTTAAAATAGAAAACCTTTATTAAAGACAGAACTAGACTAGGATTAACTAAGGAAAAGCTAAAGAATTACTAAGCTAATAATAGGGAATTCGAGAATATTATTAAAGGCATTTTCAAAAACAGATAAAAAAAGCTTAATAAGATTAAGACTATAATAAATAGTCTTAATACTAAGAGTCAGAATAGAATTATACTATATAGTAAAGCTTTTAGCTAATATATTAATAATATTTATAATAATCTTAATAAAAATATTTATAAGAAATTATATTCTTTCTTTAAAATAAAAGCTTTAGTATATAAAGCTATTTAGTTAATTAATAAAGCTATTTTAAAATATATTAAGAATAAGAAGTATTAGAATAATAGTATATTTACTAAATTAGATATTACTAAAGTACTTAAGTATATTAAAACTATTTTGGAACCTAAAGAATTAGAATTTAAGCTATTATTAGCTAATAATCTTAAAGCTAGATAATATATCTTTAATACTTCCGGAATTCTAATTAAGTTTATAGTAATAAGCCTTTTCCTGCTTTCTGAGATAAGCCTAAAAAATAGGCCCCTATTATAATTTTAGCTTTAATTTAACCGGATCTAGCTAAGAAAAATAAAGCTAATTTAATAAAGCCTAGTAAGAAAACTACTAGTAAGGCTAATAAAACTAGTATAACTAGATAAGAAGAATCTAGTAAGAATAAAAAGCAAGCTAAGCCTAAGATTTCTAATAAATAGCGGAAATCTAAGTATTAAACTAAGTATAAGATTAATAAAATAGAGAAAAGTAAGGGAAAGCCCTTTATACTAAAGAGAAAAATACTATCTAGAAAGATTTCCTTAACTATACTTAGAATTAAGAAGCAGAAAACTAAGAATATTAAGTCCGAAAAACTTAATAAAGATATTTAGTATATTTATAAGGTACTAGCTAAATAAAAGTTAATACTTGCTTAATAAGATAAGTATATCTTTAAGGAAGTATATAGTAGTATTATAAGACCTATTTATAAGCAAGAATATTATAGGATTAATAATAAATTCCTTAAAGCTCCCTATATAATATATACTTAGTAACTTACTAATACTCTTTCTATTAACCTAATATATGAGAGATTAAGGATGCTTTAAAGCTAGTTACTAAAATTTATAAAGTTACTAAAAGCAAGAAGTATATTTCTATTATTTAGATAAATAAGAAATTACGGAATTTCTTTTTTAAGAACTAGAAAATTAAGAAATATAAATATAAGTACTATATTTCTAATTAATTTTACTCAAATCTATAGCTCTAATTTAATACTATAATTTCTATTCCTAAGTCTAGTATTACTAATCTAGATACTAATAGCTATATTTATAAGAAGAATTATCTAAAGTAAATTAAGAAGCTTAGTATTCGAGAGCTTTTAATAAAAGAAATAGAAATATTATAGTTCTATCTTTAAAAAGATAATATATTAATATATAAAGATCTTAGTAATAGCTACTTTACCTTAGCCTCTCAACTTTTAATAGCAGATCTATTAATATAGCTCGGATTTCATAAGATATTAAGTAAGTATCCTATTTACCTAGTTATTTACTCTTAGCTAGCTTAGTACTTTATTCCTGAAAATATTAATTATAATTAGTATAAAGGCAATACTAAAGATCTAGCTATTATTAAAGCTTTAAGTAGCGAATTCTACTTTAGTAAAAAGTATTAGAATATTAGCTATATTTTCCTTATAAATTATAAGAAAACTATTATCTTTAATAAGAAGTTCTTTAAAGATATTAATTACTTTTTTATTTCTAATAAATTTAAGCCAGAAATAGCTAAGGAAATAGGCGAGTATTTACTAAAGATAATAAGAGAAAAGACTTCAAATATAATCTATTTAACTAGATAAATAAATACCTTTAGCTAGGTAATTTATAAGTCTGAAATTATAAGAAAGCATTAATTCTCGAATAATATATAAGTTAAAAAATAGCTTAATAATAATTTACTATTTAATAGGCCTTTTACTATAGTTCTAATAAGTCTAGTTACTATTAAGAATAAAATATATGAAAATAAAGCCTCTTATAAGGTTATTAAAGCCTCTTATCTAGAGCTTTCTTTTTTTATTAAAAGTTAATTTAAGAATACTATAAATAATATAAAATTTAAAGAAGCTATTTATTTAGAATATATTAGTACGATTTATAATATGATTTACTATAATAAGCCTCCTTAATATCCTATAATAAAGGCAGAAATTAAGTAATAATTAAAAGCAAATACTAATTAATATAAAGAATTATATTAGATTTAGTATAAGAATATAACTAAGCGGGTTCGGATTATTTTTAAGCAAGTTCGGGAATATAAAATAAGACTATTTAAGGATAATAAGTCTTATTTTAGGTATATAGAGAAGAAATTAGATTAACTAATAAAAAAAGATCCTAAATATTTCGTTATTTCGGACTCTAAGTAGGATTTTTCTATTATTTTTAGT